CTAGCGTCCACTCGGCAAACGAGGCAGTCTAAAGTCTAATTATAGTACCAACATACTATTTTAAGTTCCATATATGTATAATTTAGAGCAAGTGCATTTTTATAGATCATCATATATATTCAAAATATTCTTATAACCCCGAATGGAAAAATTTTACTTGCGTTTCCTTTTGCTCTATGGGAACCCGTCGATGAGGAAAAAAGTGTGTTTTTGGTATCTATACCCATGGTATGTATTGTTATCAATTCCATTGTGTTGCAAAGTGAGCTATTGCCAACACCTGGCATGATACCAGGTTTTACACAATATTTATTAAATTCAAACATTTCCTGTGCGTTTGAAATAAACATGCACGTTAACAACTACATTTAGTAACATTATAACATATTTAAGTGTGGGAGAGCCATGCTTCGTCACGAATGCGCCGGCTCGACCGGAGTGATACCACGGCCTCACAAAAGACCGACGTGAAGCAACGCTTGCGTTGTGTTTTGTCGCGTGAGTGAGGTCACCGGAGGCCCAATCACCGCTCTCCCCCTTTCCCCAATCCCTGAGTCCCCAACAATCCCCAAATTCCTAATCCTAAAAGGCCAGTAACGCACTTGTAACGCCTCTGGTGTTCCAGGTGCCCATGGGCGACGCCGATTGCTTACCATCAGGTGATCCGAAAAATTAAAGCAAATTTTAACTATAAACTCTCACTATCGCTCACAATCTTAAATTGGCATCTTTTGTACGTGACACTACATAGTACATACATTGTGGATATATACCTATATATTATGTACCTGATGCATGATCATATTATGTATAAGTAAACATTAATTAATTCTGTCAACCATGTTAGTACACATAGGCATCTTGAGGTGTGAATTCATTGGTCAATATTATTTGCTTTAAAAAACTATACACAATGCATCGATAACAATAATAATATTCACTGCCTCGTTGGCCGAGTGGTCGCAAGGGGAGACCCCTTCGATTCCTGGTTAAGGCAAAGTATTACTGGGTTTAAAAAAAATCTCAGTAGTTGCAAGGAGTCTGGAATTGTGCCCGGTATATGGTAATAGACTCATCCCTATTACATAGGACTCATAACATAAACAGTGAAGAGTGGGTTTTATATTGTACAGTGGCAATAAGTGCCGTAATGTACACCTAATAATAAAGGGCGTGATGTTATAATAATATTCACATAGGAGAGCCTTGTTTGTGCACGAATTAGCCAGTTTTTACCGAAATTATGCCATGATTCCCTCCGAAAACCGACGTGAAACAACGCTTGTGTTCACGTCGTGTGAGTGAGGGTCTCGGGGCGCCAGAACCCCATAACAGTTAAAAAAAATCATAAAGAAAAAAGACAGAGTACAATGACCTTTCAACAACATAGGTACTTATATTGTATTGTGTCCTCCAGTGAGGTCATTCCTCTGTCCCCGATCACCTGAATCTGCTATAAAAACACTTCCGACTACGGACCTGTCAGGTGTAATGTGTGTTACAAAAACGGCGCTGTGTTCTAGAGGTGGGTGCAGGGACGGACTTTGGAAGTGTAAATGTAGGTTGCGAAGATGAATATTGTGTTGTGTGGTGCGAAAATGATGTAATTGAAGACTGAGAACCGAGAACTCGATGATAACAACTAAGGCATCGCCTTTCAGTTTTACTTAATAGTTTTACTTTTCCAAAAATCTTAGTAACATACTTTAGAACTTTGAATAACCGGTATAAACGTCACATAAAAGTCCGAATTTCCTCAAAATCATACTCCCTAATCTTTCAAAACGCAAGTTACAATATCGTTACTCATCATCATCGTCAGACTTCATCTACAAGAGAGAAAGTCTAGAATATACGTCCGTAGGTACTGTTTTCTTACTCAGTTACCTACAGTATCTTTTTTCTTAAACATCTTCCAAGTCCAACCCTGTTCTCACGTCGCCACCAATCTGAATACCAACGCGATGCATAACGAAATGCAATATGTCTGCCGTCGACCTAATGGAGGAGCAATGCTGCGGATAAACAAATTTGCGGTCACGTTAGCTCACCTCTAGTGCGGATATTCTCGGTTACTCACATAAATAGAGCTGTGAAACTGTCATGGCGGTTAGGGCTTGTCAGTTATTATTTTAAGTGTTATTGACATGTGTTAGTGTTACATGTGTTATCACACTAATATTATAAATATGAAAGTTTCTTTATTTGGATGTTTGTCCGTTAATCACGCTGAACCGACAGAATGGATTTTTTTTTATTTGGTATACAGGCATACATGAGATAAAACAGGATCACATTCAACGCGGACGAAGACGCGGGCACCAGTTACTTTATAAGGTACTTAATTGTGGATTGTTGGGTGTAATGAGTAAATGTGCACTTTATTTGTTTAGAGGTAGATTTTGAATACTTATCTCTACACCTACCGATCACCCGCTCAGGTCTCCACCATCGTCTCATAGTTGTAGGTCGCTAATAAGGGACTACATAATAGACATCAGGTACTAACGTTCTTTGGTAGACCTTTTTTTAAGTAAATACTTAAATAGTAAGACTTATACCTACACTTTAGATATGTAGTGTGCAGTGATTGAAACAAGTTGAAGTCGAAGGTATGGTGTTCGTGCTCGTGCCTGATGTTCAGATGTTTGGCTTTTTGCCCACCAGCCACGGACACCTCGCCTGGTTGGAGGATCCTCCTTTTAAGATCTTAGGAAACTCTACTCACTGTTCCCTTCAGTGATAACCCTGTATAAGTCTAAGCAAATAGAAAAAAAGAAAGAAAGGAAACCATCACAATAACTCGTCGCGTCCATTTTCTTAATATTTCACAAACAACTCCATACTTATTGTAAAGTACCGGTGCTCATTAGCCAGTTCCCTCTCTCTTTCACTTCTAAGATAATTGCCTATGTCTGTCTCCTTCTCTTGAGTTGACACTGTTGTCGTAGGCAGTCCATGTTGTCATTGTCTCTTTATTTTTTTGTTTGAATATCGTCAGCAGGTTAATGAGTTGTTGAGTTTGTTTTAATATGTAGGTAACTGGTTATTTCTGTCACTTAATAGTATAAAACAAAGTCGCTATCCGCCGTCTGTCTGTCCCTATGTATGCTTAGATCTTTAAAACTACGCAACCGATTTTTGTGGCTTTTTTTGATAGATAGAGTGATTCTTAAGTAAAATTTATATGTATAATATACGCATATTGCACCCGTGCAAAGCCGGAGCGGGCCGCTAGTACTTTATAAACCGGAGGTAAAATATATAGAATAGATTTTTTTTTGTCACTTTCGATACTCCTCGTGTTTCCTGAGAATCGACTAAGGAACGACACATTTAATAAAGATCAAGAAGTACTTTCAATAAGCTAGCTATTTAAAAATACAATCTTTAAGTCGCTTGCCAAACGTATCGAATGTGACTCTCTTACCTATGTAGAAGAGACATGCTTCAGCTGTAGACTTTCATTGGCTGTTGATAATGAATTTGCACGGCACATTCGATACCCGCACGGAGCAACTCTTTGTGTGATCCACAAATTGTTGTTCCGGGTCTGGGTGTCATGTGTATGTGAACTTGTATGTTTGTAAACGCACTCACGATACAGAGAAAATCCTAATATGGGATAACGTTTTTAAAAAAAATCGTGAAATTAGCCATAAGACGTAATCTCCTCTACTAAACATACCTAGGTCTGACTCTCAATGGTTTCCAAAATGGCCGCTTGCAAACGAAATAAATAATAATAATAAACACATTAAGTAAAGCAGTAACCCTGTCTTTTTATATTCTGTCCAGGAACAAAATATTTTCTATTTGGATTAATCATAATACATTCATTTATAAAAACAATAAACAGAACATAAATACATATTTGTATATAATAATATAAATTGTATGTAATGGGGTCCCGGCGCCCATTGTAAGCGACCTCTGTCGGCATAGAAATTATTACTTTATTTATGAGTGTAATAAAGTCTATTTTGGATTCTTAGCTGTAACTGGCTGATATTTGATAAAGAACTCAGTAATAGACATAGTATAATATCACGCCTTTTATCTAAGAAAGGGTAGGCAGTGGTGCACATTACGGCACTTAATGCCACTTCACAATGGAACACCCAGTTTTCAGTATTATATTATGAGTCCCATGTAATAAGGGTAGCCTTTTGCCATATATGAAAGGGATTATGATAATTAATCTCATTCATTAAGTAAAACGCGGGTTACTCACTTGAATATACTGAGAAAAGCTCTACTAGAAGCAGCGCAGCAGTAAGCTGCGCGACGTCGCCGCGACCGCGCACGCTGCTCATGAGGAAGAACCCCTCTGTGGTTCGAAACTAGTAGAGCTTTTCTCAGTATATTCACGTGAATAACCCGCGTTTTTACTTAATTTAGTATGTCTCACGATAGTTATTATAAAAACATAATCTCATTCATTTAAAATAACTGCGACTAATTCCTGGTAAGTGATTCCATAAAAGCTTTACGTCACAGCTTGGCATGACTGCTGTTAACGACATGAATTTTGTATGAATTTTGCTTGAACATGTCACTATGCATACAAGTGCCCCCCAAGGGGGCCACTTATGTAAGTTTTATTTAAAAGACTAACCGCTTTTTATATTTCGTGCGATGTCAAGGTCAGAATGCCTTATTAGGAATGTCATAAAGGTTACATAATAATGTAAATATAGGTATGTGTTGACATTTTAAAGCAAATGTCGGAAATTGTATTAGTGCCACGAATGTTTGGTCGGTAACTTAGCAATTAGTTGTAAAACCGATTTGAATAAGTTAACACGCGAAAGTTAGTCATTATGTGTTGTTATTTTAAAATGAATTATCAATAAAGTTCATTGTGAAAACTAAATACTAATTGATTACGAATCGATTTTGAACGACAAATAATTCTAGAAAATAGATCGACTATCAAAGCCTCAGTATGAAATAAATAATCTAACTTACATAATTGTATTGTTACAGATCATTCAACAATGGGAGCCCCAAGAGCCTGCCTAATCTTCATCACGATCCAACTGGTATCCCTGGCCTACGCGCAAGAAGTCTCCAAGCGCGTGCCGCAAGGCTTCCTCGGGATGCGTGGGAAGAAATACTTCGAGGACGATGGCACCGAACAATTTTACAAACGAAAACCTCAGTTCTTCGTCGGAGTTAAAGGGAAAAAGAGCCTTCAGGACATACTTGAAGCCCCGGAGGAATATTACAAGCGAGCTCCAATGGGCTTCCTAGGAATGAGAGGCAAGAAAGAGCAGAAATTCCCAGACTTCCAAAGCAATGAACTGTACCTCAAAAGAGATGGCTCCCTCATAGGTCAGATAGACTACTCCTCAAACGAGAACCCCACCGTCTCCGACTTCCCTCTGCTGAACGAACTACTCCTCCACTACATCTCGCAGGTCAACCTCCCCTCCAACATACCCTCGGAGTCATCAGAATCTGATGTTGACCAATCGACTAATGAAATTGAGAAGCGAGCGGCGAACATGCACCAGTTCTACGGCGTGAGAGGAAAGAAATCCCTAAACAACTTGAGCTTCCGCGGCAAATTCATCGGCGTCAGGGGCAAGAAAGACTTGAAAAACAGTGGCCCTCATGAAATTAAATTCCTGGTCGACCAAAACGGACCCCTGCCTAAGAGAAAGGCTCAGATGGGCTTTTTCGGAATGCGAGGCAAGAAGTGGGCTGAAGGTTAGTGTTCATTGTCATTTTTTATGTAGCTTTCATCAGTTAAATTCACCCACTATAATTACTCATCATTCAGACGATACTTTTTTATCAACATAATTTTGTATGTCCGACCTTAAATCGAAGTTATTTACACATTAATTCATGAGTCATATTCCATTAGATATCAAAAAATATAATTATGATTTGATCGTGTGAAGTAGTCGTAGCGTCTACGTAGCGCTACGACGTTTCGTAGCAGTATGCTGACTACGTTGCTTTTATAGACGTCATGTTATTCATTTGCTATCATTCATGCATTTATAATTAATTTTTCAGATATTAGGTCGGCTATATTGACTCGAAACCTTTCCAAAAGGTACTAACGCAAAGATTTTTATTAAATAAATAGTTTAATAGTTTGACTTCTTCTTTGTGTGGTAGACAACGGTATAGTACAAGTTGTTGAATAATACCTTATTTTCATAAACTAACATTATTGTGGTGGCCTGGAACTTAGAGCTGACTTCTCAAGCAAGATGTTGCAGGTTCGAAACCTAGCGAGTTCGCAATGGCCGGGTGATTTCTTTAAACCGCCCATGACTGTGAAAGAACACAATATCATGTTTTATAATTGTGAAATCACCAATTCGCCCTGAACAAGCGTGGTGATTAATATTATTGCACTTTTGTATGAACGAAAAGTCTTTAGATTGTAACAAGGCAGCAATATTTTTTGTCAAATCGATTTATTCATTTTTTCTCATAACAATTTTGTTTGTTGTATTATAATTTGTGGGGTTTCAATATTTTCTCTCTGTCTCCTAATAGGTCGAGTAGTTACAAGTGTGACTGCTAAGCAACGGGTTCAATTCTCAGTAATAACTTCCCAGTAATACCACGGCGTCTGATATTGGGCCCGGTGTCTGGCAATAACCTGACCTCTCATTACATTGGATTCATAGCATATCTTATCATAACATGTCAAAATTAGGGGTTAATATTGTAGAATTATGTGTATCTTTGTCTAATATAACATCATACCCACGAAGGGATAGGCAGAGGTGCACATTATGCCATTGTACAATGTAACACCCACTTTTCACTATTTATGTTATGAGTCCCATGTAATAGGGGGTGAGTCTATTGCCATATACCGGGCACAATTCCAGACTCCGTGATACAACTGAGATTTTTTTAAAAACGCAGTAATACTTTGTCCTTTTATATTTCTATTATATTAATAATATTCTATATGTCTAATATATTTCTATTTTTTCTGTTACAGACAGTTCCGAGACAGACATAACAAACTAAGTGTCTTCAAAGGTTGATTCAATACAAGTATTAAAATAAACTAATAAATAAATTAAAATGCTACCTATTTCTTGAGAAAGACTTACCTTTTCGACATATCCTATAAGTAAACAATTCTTGCCAACAATAACGAGGCTTATTTTAGCGTTATTTTCACTGTTTATTATATAAGAAATTCTAGTCAGTAAATATCTATAAAATTACTAATTATATATAATATACGTTATGATATAATATAATATATACTATTGAACTGTTTATAATTATTCTTTAAATTAAATTTGTTTAAAATGTATTTCAACGGCAGAATTGTTTTTTATATTTATTTAAATTGTTTTTAAATTAACGATAGATCAGAAACAAATCAGTTTGTGATTTTTATGTGTACATTTATGATTTGTTTTGTTATCTTTTTTCAGTTTGAACTTTATAGATTTTATTTAGTTATGTATTACATCATCAGCCTATAAGTACCCACTGCTGAGCAAAGCCTCTTCACACACCGTGAAGGATTGAGCACTAATCACCACGTTTGCTCGTTGTGGGTTGGCGGGATTTCGAACTTATAATTAGAAATTATAAGTCCAGGTTTTCTCCCGATGTTTTGTTTATTTATGTATTTATTTTTATTTAAACATTACATTATTATAATATTGCAGTATATTATAAATAAAAGGCCTAACTTATTACTTAATTTTAATTTAAAGTATTTTTTATATAGTGTAACTTAAATTCTATGTTTACTAAAATATTGTATGTCTAAATAAAAATGAATAAATATAAAGTAATGCATTCTTATATTTTTATCGATGTCAAATCTGAATACTTATATATTTCCTAATTATTATTAAACAAAAATTAAAGTTAATGTAAACAGTAGATAGCTCATCGCGAGTATTTTCAATTATAAATAAAAATATAATAATTAATAAATTTATGTAGATTGGATTCGTAATAGTTAATGAAAATGTTATAAAAATATCCATTTAAATATTAATCGCATTTCATTTTTTATATTTGGTTGTTTCTATCGTTTTGTTCTCGATTATATAATTATGTCTTTTTAAATGAATTTTATTTAATCGATCAATTGATAATCAGTTTCTATTTTAAAATATGTATGTACAATGTTTAAGTTGTTATTTTGTTTTCTAGTTTCATTTTTTGTCTTCGTTTTCATTCGCTTTTTATTACTTTAAAACTAAGTCGTACATTTAATATTATACTTTAAAAACGCCTATGAATAGTTGTTTGTTACGACATTACGTAGTTACTTTAGCGTTTATAACTGTTGTTTTAATAAAATTACAAAATGTTTTGTATAAATTAATGAATTATGTAAAACTATCTTGACATTTTGTAAGGGCTGGCAAAATGTAAACTGTATTATAACAATAGTGAAATTAATATACGCAGTTGTCAATTTTAATGTCGCTTCATTTTACACCTTGACTTTCAGATACCCTTAGTAAGTAAGTACCTACTACTATATATTAAATAGAACTGCTGTACAAGGTGTTGTTTTAAACTGTCAAACACCAAGCGGTCACCGGTGACCGCGACCTATTGTTCTTTAATTGTGTCTATAAAACCGGTACTCGACGAGTTAAAGCCGCGTCATTTTCTAGGAGGTAAATCGGCTATCGATTCTGAGTCCGAAATAATAATAAAAATTGTAGGTAAATATTTATATTTTTTTTTAAATTACGGAAATCCGTAAGTGCGAACTACACGCCATCTTGTAACTAGCTTTACAATACGGCTTAACACACACAAACACGTAATTGATATTATTCCTAATTCCATAAAACTCCAATAAGAAACATTGCTGTCGCTTATTCTTAAATACTGTCGAACTTAACGATTTATTATAGCCATATTTTTAACTATTGGTCCGAAATTTTCTCTTACATTGAACCTTTATGACTTCTGTGACATGCTCCCGAGAAATGACACGGTTTCAAAACTACACCTTGTATAGGGTGTAAACATAACGCACTTGAAAACGCTGACATATTTTTTTACAATTTGAATAGTTTTTAACCGACTTCAATAAAAGAAGGAGATTCTCAGTTAGACCTATATGTATGTATGCTTGTGCGCGCTAATCTCGTGACTTTGGTGCGGTTAAAAAAGTATTTGTTACACTTAGAGGGTTTTAGTATATAATTAACCGACTTCAATAAAAGAGGGGTTTGTAGTCGGTTTTTGTGTACGTGTTTTTTACAACATTGACCGGTTCTATATATATAATAGTCTGTTTGTCTGTATGTATGTCCGGGATGAACTCAAAAAGTACTGCATAGATTTACTTCAAATTTTACATGAATATTACTAACAGGTCGGGTCAACATATAGGTCAAAGTCAAAGTCAAAATCATTTATTTCAATTAGACCAGGAAGGCACTTTTGAATGTCAAAACAAAATATTTAAATATTAAATAATAAACGAAAATATAAGTCCGTAGGTCAGTTCTCTAGTGAAGCTAGAGCTATAGGCTACATATTATCATGCTATCATCTATGGGGGAGGAGCCCTATACTAGGTACTTAATCAATTCTGACGACATTCGTTATCGTAGAATATCCCTTGATAAAGACTAATTCAAAAGCATAAATTGTCCGAGAAGTCATTATTCTATGCGGACGAAGTCGCGGGCAACAGCTAGTTAGGTTCATAAAAGAAAAAAATATTTATTGCACGGTTGACGCGATGACTCGGCAACTGGCTGCCGCACAACGTGTAGCGGGTTCCATTCCCGCACGGAACACCTCTTTGTGTGATCCACAAATTGTTGTTTCGGATCTAGGTGTCATGTAACTGTGAAATTGTATGTTTGTAAACGCACCCACGATGGAGGACAAAAACCTAGGGGGGCAAATTTTTACTTAAAAACAAAATCCTTACTTACTTTTATGAAAATAAAACTTGATTTATACCATTCAAATTTCAACTGTCGGCATTTTTCGGGAGCGTCCCATTTACACCTGTATAGTACATGAAATATTAAATAAGGTAGTCACAAAATTAAACCCTTTTTAAGGCATTGGGTGGTAAATGAGTAGACGAATACGTCATCGTCGTCTAGTCCAAGTAATGTTGACTTACAAAGAGACTGAAACTTTGCCAAAGCAAATTATGAGCTAATGTATAGGCGTATCTCGGAAATAACATAGCAGGATATATTTGGTGCTTGTAATGTTGACGAGGCTGTTGATTGTTTTTATAATTCTATTCACTCCATATTCGATGAATGCGTCCCAAAAAAATTAAAATCCAGGAAACCTACGAGGAGGTATCCGGTATGGTACACCGCTGATCTAATTAAAATTATAAAGCAAAAAGCTGACTTGCTTCGCCAATGTAAAACCTCACATGAGATCTCTTAGATAGATCTCACATGACAGCACGGTTGGTGCGGTGGCAGTTTTTAACTGGCTGCCGTGCAACGTGTCGCGGGTTCGATTCCCGCACGGAATAACACTTTGTGTGATCCACAAATTGTTGTTTCGGGTCTGGGTGTCATGTGTATGTAAACTTGAATGTTTGTAAACGCACCCACGACACAGGAGATAATCCTATAGTGGGCCAACGTTTTTCTAAAAAAAAAAACAAGTTAAGAAAAGCATGTCAATTACTTACAAAGACTATCTAAGTCGCATTCAGCGTAAACTTAATCATGATCCTACAGCTTTTTGGCAGCACGTAAAT